ATTATGTAGTTGGGTAATGAAATGCCAGCAAGCAAACAACCAAGCTCAGAGCACCAATGACTCCACCATGTATCCATCTTTCTTAACTATTTACAAGCATTAGTCTAATTCTAAATAAGGGTAGTAACTCTTCAATTGTGATATCTAACTCACAATTTAAAATCGAATTTAATACTGCATATCTTCTGGGGAAATGGTACAAACATGGCATGCTTTTATTAACTAATGTTGGTAAAAAAGTAGATGAAACAAAGGACTTTTCAGGTGTTCCATTGTTAAGTCTATGTGTTTTGATTTTTTCCTTGATTGTCTTTTCATTTTGTTAGATTGCAGCATTACTTCTTCTTTATTGAATAGGTTGAAATAAGTTACAGCTGCAAAAGAAAATGGGACTTTCTCAATCAACATTATTCTCTATATAGAAACATTTGTCATTTAATTTTGAGTTCACATAATAATATTTAAAGATGGGACATCTTTTATTCCAACACTCATTATATTGTTTCTGATTTTTAATATAGATATAAATTGGATAAGTAGTCTTTCCCATTCTAATTTATCTAACGCTATTCAGTCTATCTGCATGACTCTGTAGCCAGCTTCATAATTGACCATATCCCATTTTTCCTCCGACATATGCAGAAATTAATAATACACTAAAATAGATAATTTATTCTATTTCTACTCTTTTTCTTTCAAGTCACATTTGGTAAATATCTGATATTATAACCATCACCAGATAATATATCAAAACATGTATAAAACTACATGTAAAAAATCTGTTTTAGGATCAAATGCATTTAGATTTGCTTATTTTGAAAGGAAACAACTTTAAATAATATTATTTCACCAAACATGCATTTAATTAAATTTAATATTTAATTACAGTTTTTTTATGGGGGAGTCTTTTAATGCAGTTTAATGTAGATTAACAATATGCTTATGAATACATTCATAAGGAAGTAATACGTATCATAAATTCAAATCACATTTCTGGTTCTGCTAATATAACAAAAATTCCACCCAGTGCCAACACTCTTTAAAAAGAGCTCTCTGTGTAACAGTTTTGTAAGCTTAATACAATTAAGGAACCCATTCCAAGAAAGTAACCACAATATGCACAAAGAATTGAACCATATATTAGGGCTTATGTCTGTTTTCATCAATAAGAAAGGCAAACTTGCATCTGTAGACCAAAGGTGGTATTCAGCAGGTTCTGACCAGTTCTGGAGAAATGGTAGTGGAAATTTTGAGTAGTTTGGAGAACTGGTAAATACCACCTCTGACTTGCTCCACCTCCATCTATTCTCTGCCTCCCAAGTCCCAGCTGATCGGGTGGAGGGAAGTATGCAATGGAGTACCCCAAGGCTCTGTTTTAGGCTAGTACTCTTCAACATCTTCATCAATTATTTGAATGAGGGAATAAATGGGGAACTCATCAAATTTGCAAATGACACCAAGCTGGCAGGAATAGCCAGAACTCCAGAAGATA